ATCGAGGGTTTTTTCTTCAACTCCTCACCCCTCCCAAACTTCATCCCATTTTTCGTAAATTTCCAAACCCCGGAAATCACATTATCGTTCGAACTTGGTGGGCTATCTCTCGATTTTTCATCTCCATCCTTAGGCTTCTTTTTCGTCCTTTTCTTGCCCGGTTTTGACTTACGACCACCTCCAACTTCGATTTTCTTGCTCGAACCCTCAAGTTTCACCTCAAGATCATCATTAACGTTCTCTCCCAACTTCACAACATTCATCTTGCCTACAAAACCATTTTCATTAGGTAATTTAAGCTTAGAGTCGAAATGTACCTCTTTGTTGATGTCCTCCACAAACGAGCATTGGCCAACTTTTGGTGGAGCTTCCCGGGCGTTGTTCATCGTGAAAGTACCAATCTCTCCATGAGCCGATAGAGTGACTCGCCCCTCCTTGACGTCGATAATGGTGTTGGTCGTCGCCATAAAGGGTCGACCAAGCAAAATCGTGTGCTCCTTCCCGGTATTCGGGACATCTCCAACGTCAAGGACAACGAAGTCAACCGGTACAACAATCGAGCCCACTTTGACCAACACATCTTCAGTAATGCCCTTTGGTTCCCGTAAGGTACGGTCCGCCAATTGGAGGCTCATCCGAGTGGGCTTAAGCCCTTGCAAACCCAATTGTTTATAGATAGAATAAGGCATGAGGTTTATACCGGCTCCCAAGTCGATCATCCCGGTTGTAATCTTTCCATTCTCGAATGTAATCTTCATGAAAAGGCTCCCGGATTACATTCTTTCCGAGGTATGGTAGTCGAGGCTACCTCGGAAATCATCACCTTTTCATTATCCACGAACCTCCGCTCTTTCGAAGCTAAGTCTTTGAAAAAGTGAACATATGCCGGCACGTTTTTGATAACGTCTAGTAGTGGGAGGTTCACGTTCACCTTCGAGAGCATGTCAAAAAGATCTTGAAATTGACGCTCCTTCTTTGTATCTTTCAAACGGCTCGGTAAGGGCACCGGTGGTCGATAAGGTTCATCCGCTTTGTGCAAAGCCTCACGGGCATTCTTCTTCTAACTCTCCTTCTCAATCCTCTCGTCAACAACGACTTTCCCTTTCAAAACATCAACTTTCTCACCTGGCTCATCATTATCCTCATCAACAACAACTTCAACCACCTCATCTTTCTCGGGCATCTCAACACGATTATCAATCATCTTACCGTTCCTCAAGACCGTGATGGCATTCAAGTGCTCGGGTTGGCTCGGGAGCTTGTCTTTCATTTTGATCCTTTGGATATCCCTATGGAACTCCCGAGTTGCCCCACTTGAGTCTCCAGGCACTTAAGAGAGGCTTGAATCGATGGCACTCCCTTGATGGTGTCGTGCAATGTGGAGACGGTGGATGCTAATGATTGAAGGCACTTCTATAAGCTTTCGATCCGAGTCTCCGAGGGTTTTCCGTTAGCATTCCTCTCGGGCTCGGGTGGAGGTGGCAAAGGTTTCCTCGAAACAAATCCTCCACGCCCTTGTGGATATCCTTGAAACTCGGGCCTCGGTTGATAACCTTGGAATTCGGGCCTTGGTTGGAACGGTGGTCGGTTGTTTGGTTGAGCATATTGTTGAGGTTGGGAATAGGCTTGTTGTGGTGCCGGTTGGGGTGGGTAGGTGGCTTTCGGGTCCCTCCATGTAAAGTTAGGGTGGTTTCGCCACCCCGAATTATAGGTATTCGAGTACAGATCATTTTGAACCCGGGGGGCGTACCCTTGGATAACATTGATGTCGTAGGGGACTCCTTCAAGATTTGGATCATAGGCCGACATCATATAATTCGGGCACGCATGTCCTTCGTGGCCGACCTCTCCACAACACCCGCATACTTCGGCCATCACCACTTG